AATAGAGAATAGAATAGAATGGCTTGGAATAGAAATAGAATAGAGAATAAAATATAGAACAGAACTGAATAGAATAAATAGAAAATAACAGAAGAGAACCGAATACTAACATTGGAATGAAGAACAAAATGGAATGAACTGGAATGGAACAGCAGAATATTCTGTAACAGGGCGGAAACAAGAGGGCGCACCTTGGCTTCCAGGTAGATGCGTGTCGAGGGAGAGCCACGGGCCACGAGGAAGAGGCAGAGGGCGAGCGAGACGGCCCCCAGCACGAACAGCGAGTCGCTGATGAGAACTCGGGCGAGGACCACAGCCCAGGGCTCAACCTGGCGTGCCCGCACCAGCACGGCGCACGCCACGTTCACCACCAGGAAGAGGACGCTGGCCCCGAAGCACACCCCTCGCACCAGCAACCTGGGAGGAAACAACCCAACTTGGAGTAAAGAGGGAGAGAGTCACGAGATCCCCAAAAACGTCTTTCTCCTGGATCAACCAAAGCCCCTCTAGGTCAACTCATAAAACGTTCCTATGCTTGTTTTAGTAATTGCCATAAAAAAAGGAGGGGGGGGGGAAGTGAAAGTACATTCCAACTCTTCTCTTTAAAAGGTTGTAACTAAAACTACCAGAGCTTTTGCCCGGGAATATATTGAATTGGAGACCGTGAATGATGACAGCCAGCCTGTAATTGGAGAATGGGATTGATGACACCCAGCCCGTGTGAACGTGCTCAGTTGGAGAATCTGGTTTATGAGACCCCCAGGGGGGGAGGGGGGAAACAGGGTTCACAGGGGACTGTAAATGACGTATGTGTTGTGGTTAGCCGGCAGCAGGGGCGGACGGCTGAGGAGAGCGAGGACTCAGGTGAGGGGCCAGGACCATTAGGGAGTGGATTGCTGCCTTCAGAGATTGTGGGGGCTGTCAGCAGCGACGAGGAGGTTCCCGAGGAGCCTGGCCCAAGTGCGCGTGTGCGCAGGGCTGCTCGTAAGAAAGAACAGCTGCAAGCAGCACGAGCGACTCGGGAGTAAGGCTGCAAGGTAATAGCCCCTCCCTCAAGAAGATAAAAGGCAGCTGTGAAACGAACGTTCTTTGCAGGAAGCAAAGATGTTTTGGAACTCAGCCTCGTGGACATTGCAGTGTATCTTAAGTTGGTATTTGAAGACTCTTGTGTTGTGAAATATTTCTTATCTGTGGTTTTTGGCAGTCTCGCACAGTTTTGGCGAGGCTTGTGCTTATCAAAATTAATTAGTTTGCAGCAGCCTTTCAACCAGGGATTTGTAAGAATCATTAAAAAGGTTTCTGTTCCCTTTGGTTCGTGTTTGTTTTATTGGAAAAGGGTTTGGGTCAGAACAGTATGCCACAGCTGGCTTCATACAGGGCAGGGCACGTCGCCTCTAATGAATCCTTTGAAGTTTTTTGAAGTTTGGCTCGAGAATCATGATTTAATTAGGGCGATTGTTGGAATCTCTGATCTGGGGCGGTGCCCACCCAGGGCTGCCAGAAAACCTCTCATGTTAAAAAGAGCGGCTGTGTCCCGTGACTTATAGCATTTATGATACCAGGTAGTCCTCTACTTACGACCACAACTGAGCCCCCAAGGTTATGCCGCTAAGCGAGACAGTTGTCAAATGGCAGTTTTGTCCCATTTTACGACGTTTCTTGCCACGTTCATTAAGGGAGTCCCCTGCAGTTGGTAAATTAGTAACCCAGTTGTGAACTGAATCTGGGTTCCCCATCGACTTGGCTCAAAGGTCGCAAAAGGGAATCGCGGGACCCCAGGACACGGCGACCATCATAAGCACGAGTCGGTTGCCAAGTGTCTGAATTTTGGTCCCGTGACCTGCAACGGTCATTTAAGCGTGAAAACTGGTTTTCATGTCGCTTTTTGTGACTGAGCACTCACGAAAGGAATAGTCGTTAAATCAAGGACCACCTGTAGTTTTGTGTAAGAAAACCCCACGAAGACGCTGGAGAAAGACGGAATACTCACAGGCCTTTGATCAGTTCAGGACGATATTTCGCTTTGGCTTTAAAAACCACCTGAAAAGGAGAATAAAATTGACCATTAGTTTTATTTTGGGGATGGGGGCGTGGAGGGGGTTTTCAGTAGCCTGCTTTGATTCTATTTTGATGGACGGGGGGCTGCCTGCATTTGCCAGAAGTGGGATACGATTCAATATTTATTTTATTCCAGTTTCATTTTAAATGGTATTTTATTCCAAGTCCATTTTAAATAGCTTTTTAAAATCAAATTTTAATAGTAATTTGTTTCTGGAACTCTGCATGTTGATATGGCCCAGGGGCTAATCAATCAATCAGATAACAGATAATCAGAGTTGGAAGGGACCTTGTAGGTCATCTAGTCCAACCCACCGCCCAAGTGGGAGACCCTACACCATTTCTGACAAATGGCAATCCAATCTCTTCTTGAAAGCCCCCAGTGATGACGCTCCCACAACTTCCGAGGGCAACTTCTGTTGATTGTTCTCACTGTCAGAAAGTTTTTCCTTATTTCCAGGTTGAATCTCTCCTTGTTCAGTTTCCATCCATTCTTCCTTGTCTGGCCTTCAGGTGCCTTGGAAAAGAGTTTGACCCCTTCCTCCTCTCTGGGGCAGCCCCTCAAATATTGGAAGACTGCTCTCCTGTCTCCCCTGGTCCTTCTCTTCACTAGACTAGCCAGGCCCAGTTCCTGTAACAGTTCTTCGTATGTTTTAGCCTCCAGTCCCCTAATCATCCTGGTTGCTCTTCTCTGCACTTTTCCTAGAGTCTCAACATCTTTTTTATAATGTGGTGAACAAAACTGGATGCAATCAATCAATCAATGTAAATAAAGATTATATCAGAAAGCGTTCCAAGGGCCAGGTTTTCTCAAGCTTCCAAAAGCTCACATTCCCTACCACCCAAACCCATCCCGTGGCTGGGGATGATGGGAACTAGGGCAAGAGAAGGCATCCTAAAGAGTCTACAAGGCTTGGGGTGGAGTGGGAAATCTTAGCTTCCTGTCGTAAATGAGGGGAGGAACAGAGCCAATTTATTGCCAAAGCCACCGAATGACCTTGAAGACGGCTCCTTGGGGGACTGTGTAAAATGCACAACTCATATATGTCCATCAATTCTGTTCTTAGGTTATGGAAAGTCGGGCTACCAACCACAATTTCTGCTAACCCAGAACCGTTTTGCACTCTTTCTCTTCCTTATCTGGTTTGGGAGTCTTCCTCCTCTTGATAAACACACTCAGTAGCAAGATCCCACATATATCAAACATGCTGCAATTGCTACTCAGCTGCAATTAAAGCAACTCGGTTGTTGCAACCTCTTACAGCCATAAAACATGCCCATTTCTGCATGCTGCCACTGATACCAACGGGATATATACACAGAGAGAGGGAGAGGGAGAAAGGAGGGTGGAATTTGCAACTGGGAGCAAGCATGTTTAAACCACTAGCTATTCTGCTATCTTAATTTACTGATAAGGCTTACTGTGGTTTTGATATGGCTGTGAATTCATTAGTTTTGCCCTTTTTAACACAGAGGTGCTAACAATGCAAAATATGAATGTGCTGTTACGGCGAGTTTTTTTTCCCCCGTGGTTTTTTTTTTAAATTGGCATTCTGGAAGGTAAAAAAGGAAGGTAATCTTGTTACTTTTAATCATCCACTATATTTGAGGCATAAACACAAGCTTATAGACCTTTGCTGTGAATTGGGATAACTATCGACATGCTGGTTATAAGTACTGTGGATTTTTATTCCTAAATGAACAGATAACACTCCATTAAAGAAAATTCATCTACAGAAAGAATCCAGCATATCAGGAAATATTCCGGCTGGGGAATTCTGGGAGTTGAAGTCCACACATTTTAAAGTCCCCAAGAT